CTTAGAAGACTCTATGAAAGACTTCTTCCTGTGCATATGTGCCCTTTCAAATACGCAGCTATAGACAAATAAGACTACCAACTAGAACATGGGTAACTCTCGTAAAAGGACTAAGAATATTGTGTTTCATTCACTTGTTAGGGGTGTACATGATCGAGGTGGTTCGGGTTTTTCAAATATCAAACTAAATTATTTGTGTAAAAATTTTAAATTTATAAATCAAACCAAACTAATAAAATTCGGATTTTTTTGGGTTTTTCAACCTCGGGTTGGTTCGGGTTTTTCAAATACCAAACCAAATCATTGTGTCGAATTTTTAAATTTATAAATCAAACCAAACTAATAAACCTCGAATTTTTTCAGATTTTTGGAATTTTTCGGTAAAGTTTGCATACAAACATATAATTAACTTGTGCTCCAAATATTTCTTTAGTCCAACCAAAATACATTAACTAAGGTGTTTCTATAAAAAAAAAATAACACAAAATATGAGATGAATACTGATGACACAAAAATATTCAATAAAAAATAATAGTGAAATTATCATATAAAATAAATATTGCAAAGTCATAATAAAAATGATCATAATTTAAAAGTACTAAATTATGCTAAAATAAGTTTAATAAGTATTAGTTACATTACTAAATATTTAAGAAAAATTAAAATTAGATTATGTATTTTAATTGTCTAAACCAATGTAAAACTAAAGAACAAATATTTAATATTATTGTCATTCTTAGTGTTGAATTGATTTTCTTTTTGCATTAGTATTATTTTGATTTTGATTTACGTTTCATTATAATTATCAACATCTATGAACTATAATCTTTATTGGACCATTCTGAATTCTAAGTTTTAAACTTGAAATAATATATTAAAAGATAAAAACTATGAAATAGTATAAGAAATATTTTTAAAATTATAACAAGTAAATATTTTTATGTATAAAATAAAATTTTAAAATTACATATATAATGTCGGGTTGGTTTGGTCTCGGGTTGTTTTTTTAGTTAAAACCAAGTCAACCCAAATGTAGTCGGGTTTTTTTTTCCAATACCAAACCAAGTCAAACCAAACCACTAGTCGAGTTTTTTTTCCGATTTGACTCGATTTGCGATTTGGTTCGATTCTCGGTTCGATTTTGTACACCCCTACTTGTAATGATATCATGTAGGAAATGTAGCAAAACAATAACATCCATGCGCACCTTAGCCACGAACTGAGTGAAATAGAGATGTTTAAGACTTTATTTGTTTGTACTTAATGAATGTTTTAATCTTAATTATTAAATTTATTTTGTTTTCAAAGTCTGAATCTTAAATATTGTAATCTTAATTATTAAGTGTGTTTATTTTTCTTATTTTACCATCGCTTAACAGGTTTCAATTGTCACACCCAACTTAGGGATGCAACTGGCACCTAGTGCCACACTTGACCCTAAGTCGACTCTTGCTGGAGAATAACGCTACCAACGTAATACCAGCTGTAAAATTAAGAAAACATATAAGTATATCCCGACTTAAAATTAAGCCCTCAGCTGGCAAGGTTCCTGTCCACAAAATCTGCAGTCAACTCAACTAATTTCAACAAATCACATAGAATAGAAACTAAATTCTATATTGTCACGATCATCGTGATATCTATAATTAAGTAACATTGTACAGGTCGTTGAGACCGTCATGATGTCTAGAAACATATAAACTAAACACATATAATTATGTACGATTAAGGCCAACATAACCAACAATACATATCTATACAATTAAAAATTTGCAAATCTCTAAAAGTAACATATTATGTCGGGACAGGTCCCAACCTACCTATCAACTAAACATGACAAACACTATCAAATCTCTAGATCTGAGAACTCTGGAAAAAAAAAGGGAGCTGACTAATTTGTTGAAAATCTACTACACTATTGAAGAAACCTGTATACTTGTCTTTCAGGACCGGTAGGTTATAAGAATGCGCTAAATAATGTGCCGAATATGAAATGCCATAAATAATTGAGCAGGTATTATAGTATTCTGAAAGCAATTTAATAATAAAGTCAAAAATAAGATGAGCGTAATGACTTTCTCCTGAATCTAAGCATACCAAAATATTTTTAAAAAAAAAACAACCTAATCAAGCCCCTAATAGCTCGGTAGGTGCAAATAGCAAACAAGACCACCTATCCGAGCAGCCATAAGTCGGGAAGGTGCCAATTTAGTGAATATACTCCTATCGGTAGTCCTCTAGCCTCGTAGGCAATCATAACATCTAAATATCCCTTGAGGTACTCTATATATCACCCCGAAGGCAATCAATACATTTTAATAGCTCCATAGGCATCCTATTGCCCTCTTAAGCATCAATATAGCCTCGTCCGTTTCATATAACCCTATTAGGCATCAATATAACCTCATTGGCATCAATATAACTCCGTAGGCATCACATATCCTTCTTAGGTATCAACATAGTCTTGTGGGCATCAATATATTGCCCTCTTAAGCAATCAAGTGGCACGTAAATGAATAAGCCTTCATATAACCCTGTAGGCTTCCACGTTTCTTAATAACCTCTTAGGTATATAAGCTATACATAATCCCATAGTCAAAGGTCACATTGCTACAACTAAGCCTTAACCTATCGGTAGCCCCATAAAGTTGACATAATGTTTCAGTTAGACACCTTAACTGAACAATGTTTATTTTAGACACCTCATGTAGGGTACCACTATGTCATTTTGACAACTTTTTTAATATCATCAAAAACATATAATGTGTGTGGGTTACACCCGCGAATGACGTGTAAAGTGACAAATTAAATGATGACATTTGTCATTTGTGTCAAAAATAATTTTTAAATAATTAATATCGAGTAAAATTAAAATGACAAATGATATTTTTTCTCAAATAAAAACACCCCCCTTCCCCCAAAAAAAAAAAAAACACACCCAACCCCAGACCATCTTCTCCAACCCCCCACCCCCACCCCACCCCCGACCACCTTCTCCAAACACTCCCCCTCCCCCTCCCCCGAGCGTCTTCTCCAAACCACACCACCCCGGCACAACCCTCAATCGGCTTCTCCAAACACACTTTCTCTCAACCCCGATCGCCTTCTCCAAAACCCCCAAACAAGCAAATTCTCCTTCTGATTTGAATTTCTTTTTTGTGGTATGCAAAATACTCCCGACTCCCCCACTTTTCTTTCACCAAATCTCTATCCCTTTTTGCAGAAATTACACTCACCACATCTGCATGCTACGCATCATTGAATTCACTCCCCGCAAGTAATCGAAATAAGCTTTTATCAATCTTCTTACATTTACTTCATTGTGAATATTAGATTCTTCCATGGAAGAATTTTATGAATGAGTTTATTCTTAAATTTTAAAAACATTTTCCCATCATTTTTTTTGAAAAACCTTCATTCCTAATAGATGAAATTTAACTTGGGCAAAATGGTGGCTGAAAATGGTGAAGAAAAAGAAAAAAATAATTAAAAATTAACTAAATAACCCTTTCACGCTCTACACTCATTATGTTATGCGAGAAAAAAGTGTTAAAATGATACAATAAGATTCCGAAAATGAACATCGCTCAGTTAAGGTGTCTAAGTGAAACATCGTGCCAACTTTAGGAGGTCATCGATGGGTTAGGCCCTACAACTAACTATACCCGAGGTCAACGACAAATAATCAATGGCCAGAAAGCAAGCAATATGGCAATAAGTAACTTACACAGACAATCATTATGCCCTATCTAAATATGGGGTCGCTAATACCAAAATATAGATCCCAACGAGAAATGTCTATATCAATCACAATTAACATAATTGAATAAGACTACGAGTAACTTAGTTAGGACAACTATCATATCTTTCATATGCTTTATTGTATCTTGAGCACAATTGGCCCTTGTGTCTGTATCGTGAGCCTTTTGGACTCCGATAACTATATTTGAGCCTTCTGGGTTCCTATAACTGCACCTTGAGCACACAAGACTCTATTAAGGGTCAGTAATTTCAAATTACGCATAAAGAAAGGCCATAAGTGAGTAGATTTCAATATAGTTCTATAGGCAATCTACACTTGTCAATAGGCTTTCTAGGCAATAAATACAGGGACATTTATATGTATATGACTCAAATTCTTACTCTCAAATATTAATAGCTAGTAAGATAGCCACTTTAGGCATCAAACAATTCTAATTAATCAACAAGTAAGATGACGTTCTACTCAATCTTTACAATAATCTGTATTTCGTATTGAAGTATAAGGTTGCTAACAGGTAGATGAAATACCCAACATGTCATCATCATGACTCAATAGGCAACCACGATGCTATTTACTTGAAGGTAAAACTATAATTCTAAGTCATTAACTTTATAAGCATCACGATACACCAAAAGCAAACTATGTAATTTATAGGTATTGCAATCACATAATTTCTACATCAAATTATTTGTTATGTTTCTAATATCAACATTAAATACTAAGCAACTAATTATAAAGCCCTTAAGGCATCATCAAGGTATCAATAGCCAGGCCAACAAGACGATTATAATTTATTTGAGGAGATTCTTAAAATTTTTTGAGAATTTATCTCCTAAAAATTCACTCATCAAAAGAGATTGAAGAATCTGAATATCAATAATTTTCATAAGCAATTGAGTCAAATATGAATTTCGAGCGATTATAATTGTAAAGAGGTTTATCACTATAAAACTATGCAATGATTTATTTATTTTTGGATTTTTAAAAGCTAATTAGCTAAATAATGCCAAATGACTGAATTTTAAGCTGTCAATTGGCAGCAATTATGTCCATATATTTTAATAAATAATATAGAATAGATTTTTTAATTGATTTCTCAAAATTGTATCCAGATGAGTTTAGTTACACAGAGAACAAGAGGAGTGGAGTGTAAAGAAAAAAGGAAAATCATTGGCTGTCACAAGTTTTGAGAAGAAATAGGTGAATATATATAACAAAAAAAAGGAAAGCCGAAGCCTTTAGAAGCGTTGGCATTATTTTTGTACACAATATTCCCACTTGCACTCCCTCTCTCTGTGTACCCTCCGCATCGAGAAGGGAGCAAAACAAAGGAAGAAAAAACAATGGCTTCTCCGGTGACACTTCCGATCTCCAGTCCGCAATCTACGGGTACTGCCGGATCTCAATCTCAGGCCCCTATCTCCACTCCCGCATTCCGTTCATTCATATCTCGTCTTTCATCTTCGATCCGTCAAGGTTTCGCTCAACGACGCCCTTGGTTAGAACTTCTCGACCGCACATCATTTGCCCGTCCTGATTCCGTCGCTGAAGCAGCCTCGCGCATCCGCAAAAACTTCTCCTACTTTCGCGTCAATTACGTTACCTTACTTGCTAGCGTACTCGCTCTTTCCCTTCTATCTCATCCTTTTTCTCTCCTTGTCCTTCTTGCTCTCCTAGGAGGATGGTTTTTTCTCTATCTGTTTAGACCTTCAGATCAGCCTGTTGTTATCTTTGGCCGTACTTTCTCTGATCGTGAAACGTTGGGTATCTTAGTGGTATTCACCATTATTGTGGTGTTCCTCACCAGTGTTGGATCCCTGCTTATCTCTGCTCTTCTTGTTGGACTGGCTATTGTTTCTGCTCATGGAGCTTTTAGGGTTCCTGAAGATTTGTTCCTTGATGATCAAGAGCCGGCCAACGTTGGATTCCTTTCGTTCCTCGGTGGTGCTGCTTCATCTGCCGCCGCTGCCGCTGCGCCGGCTGTTGCTGCTCGTGTGTAGTCGGATCCATTTGATTTGGAGACATGATTATGAGGTTGGTTTGGAGCTTCTATATTTGATGTGAATCAGTTATTCAATTTAATTGAACTGTAATATTCTTGGTAGAGAAAAACTAGTTTCTGCGTCGGATTTTGCAGAAAATATTTAGAAATTTTGTATTCAGATTATAGATCTAGATTGGATCTGTAATTTCCAACTTTTAGATCTATATTTAACTCCTTACTTTTGTTTGCTACTACATTTTAATTCATGTTTATCTGTAAGTTGGTGGCTCAGATGTTAAAATTTACGTGATAGTTTGCCTATGAGTTGATTTCTACACTGAAAATTGATGATGACTTTCGTTCTGCTCCTGCTTATAGTTCTTGGATTTTTCTTTACATGCTTTTCTATTTTGTTGGTTTGTGGGCATCTCTGGTACATGCCATCAGAGGAGGGGAATGTGAGATGTTTAAGATGATCCTGTGTGGAGTTATGCTGGAATGAGAAGAAGAGAAAGAGATGGAGTTGAGGGAGAAACAATATGTGTGAACACTAACCTCTTAGGGAAGATTATGTTTATGGTAGCACTAGTCTTCTGCACTTCTGTTGCAGATATATATATATATATATTTTTTCTGGAGATGTTTGCAGATAGACAAGTTGTTTCTTAACCGTTTAGCCTTATCTCGATTTTCACAGTAATGTGAAGTTTTAAGTTTGTCTTTCGTCGTGGATAAATTAGCTATAAAGGTAGAGTGTGTGTGAGAGAGAGACCCCTTTGTCTTTGACTCTGTTTTGTATGCATTTATTTCTTCATGAATTGCTGATTGATCTGTTTCGATGACCAGCTGGCTGTATTTATGAATGTTAAATGATTGTTATTGTTCTTGCTGCATGGTTAAAAATCGCTTGGTTGATAGTATCTATTTACTATTTAGTCTAGTGACATTGAGACGGGGACAACATTCAGTCTCTAAAAGGCAGCATATGGTGACACATATGTTGGTTATTATTTTTCTAGTGTCAATGTATTTTATGTGAAACCACAAAATGTTTTTAAGAGTTGCTAAGCTGGGTTAGAATATGACATTATTAGCATCAGATGCGATGTTCTCAATAACAAGTAGATGGATTAAACAATAGATAAGATATATTGTCTCTTGTAGCAAGGTCTACAGTATAATGATCTGCAGTTGCTTCTTAATAAAGCTATACTAATATCTTGCCGGAAGGGAACCAAAAGGATAAAAGGGAAGGTAAGAAAGAGGTGCATTATGTTCCTATTATACATACTGGCAAAATGAGTAATTTTTAGGGTTACAAGTCTTATATACATGGAGGTTTAAGAACCATGAGTAGCTTCTTGATTGGAAATGCTTTGTGTGATGTTGTGATCACTTTGTGAAGTGTCTCAAAGTTATGAAACTAAGTTTTCTTTGAGTATGATATTGTAGTATCAGCTCTTTTTTTGTTCTCTCTTGCTCCCCTTAATATCATGAGTTGATGACCAACTTGCTAACTCTTAGGATTATCAAGTGTCAGTTATATTATTCTTCAATAGAAGTTGTCTGCCTCATGCGCGTGAGAGGTCCAGCAATGGGATCTTCTTCTTTTCTGGTGGGGGTAGTTAATATTAAATTCTATTTTCATTCATTAATGTAATAATAATAGCACTTGGATAGCTCTGGGTTTGTACAAAAAAAGAAGAAGATCAAAACTCAGCTTCTATGACATGCTAGAATTTACATGTTACTTTTTACACCAAAATACGTAGCTACAAGTCAATGGTATTCTAACCTATGTGTGTTCTCTGTGCTGGCCCCGAACATTGAGTTTCCATATAATCCACCAAATACAAAGCTGGAATGGTATCTCAGATTCTTCTTCTACCTTTTGCCAAACATGCTTTAACCTGTCCAGCAGAGAAGCAAATCGTTGCACAATAGGGAAACCACTGGTCCACACAGAAACAAATGGTTAGCCTACTCTATCTCAATTTCACTTGTAATATCTGCCTCACAAAATCAAACCCCTTACATTTACCTCCTTGAGTCAGGATCGCTTCATAAGAAGCGTGCAGCGACTTTTCTTGCGACTCCGTAGGACATGAAAGCTTTTCCAATTGTGAAATAACCAAGATATTGTTTCCAATTCCAGATAGTTGTGGTTCAACGGGCAACTTACATTTGGTCGATCCATTGTCTGTTGTGCTAACTTGTTTCTGCCAAGATGGAAAATGACAACACACTGTTCAGATTGTCCAGATGATGCATGGTGCTAGAACAATTAGTGATGTTCATATGGAGTTGACTAATGCAAACACTTAGTAGCAACTTGTCCAGTGATGTTCATACTATACCAACACATTCAAAACTATGGCTTGGATAATAATATTGTTTTTACTTCATTGGCTATACTCCATAAATATAGTTACTATTTAGAGTATTTACTACTTTGGGTATAAATTTTAGAGTATTTCATAAGTAAATTCAAATTTACTGCTTCAGAAAATGCATCTTCAAATTTATAAGTTTTATACATATATCAAAATAAATTATTTCTTCTAAAATGATACATAATTAATCATCTTAAAATTATAATAACTTACAAGTTGCAACTTTTTTTAAAAAAATATTGCTACTTTAGTAGAAAATTGAGGTATGCACATAATATATACAGTAATATTGTTTTCTAACATGTCTTCCATTGTATAATCATAACAAGCCTATAAAAATACTGTCATTTCTAGTAAATAACGATAACGAAGACATGAAATATATTTCCACTTGTGGTGGTTGTACATTTCTGGAATTCTTGCACGTATGATCCGAACATACAAATATTGATTACAGTCAGTCAAAATCTATTAATGATAATGTATAATACACCAGGCTAATGTTATGTCTACTACCATTAGTTTCTTTTTCTTTTTGGAAAAACTACAGAATATGACAAACATCAATATATATTTAAGACAAATGACTACATTTTATCTTTTTTATATTTTATGGATATAAATACACAATTAATAACAAAGTTAATGATATACAAATAATATGTTTTTTTATATATATAAATATAAATAAATATTAAATAGGATGCTTATTATTACACAATAATTAATTAGCCATGCACATTTTCATCTTTCTTAAACGGTTGTAATCAATATTTTCCTTTTTCAATGTTTCTATCTCATCAAACTTGCCATCATCAACATTTTCTCTTTCTTCAAATTCTCTACATCAATGTTTTTTTATTCATTCCCCAAATTATTCCTTCCGATTCATTATCATTTTGCACGATTCCAGAAAAAAGTTTGATGGTGTTTATCAATTATATATCACATGATTGTAGTTTTTTTCTTGATTCTATGAAGATTATATTTGTATACATACATATTTTCATCTATTTTTCATAGGGTTTCGATTGAAGATTTTGTTTCTCCATTACAATGGTTGAAAGTGGTACTCCGAGAAGGGTTACAAAATGTATACATTTATTTGATAAATTAGTGGATGAAATACCTTCTTTTGATTTGTATATTACTCAAGAGCAAGTCAAAATTTCAAGGTTTATTATTGTGATTGAGAAAGAAAGAAGAACAAAGAAGGTTAATGATCTTATACCATTGAAGTTGTGTGAAGAAACCGAACATGCAAAATCAATAAAGAGGAAAGAAGGTTCAAAATCTTTAAAAGTGAAAACCAATCTAGAAAAAAAGTCAACAATGTTGATTCAGGTGGTAGTGGAAAAAGAGTAGTTCAACAAGAATCGGAGGAAAACGAGATTGAAGTTTGTGTTCTTTATAATTTTAGAATAATGTCATTTATATATATATATATATATATATATATATATATATATATATATATATATATATATACACACACACTTTCATTATGTGAAATTGTCATTATGTGTTGTCATCTAGTATTGAAATAGTTTAACAAGTTGAATTTGTATGTATATAGTTGAAAAAAAAATTTATTGAGGAGTTGTGTGATTGTCAATTTTGCATACAGTAGAATACTTGTATACATAGTTCGATACACATGTATATTTGTATTGTTATACTTTCATCAATACTTTACATTTCTGTGTTAGTCAAACATAGCATTCATATTGATAATTTGTAGAGTAGAATGCATACAATTTTGGATACTTCTATTGTGTTAATGTGAACAATATAAGAAATTGAAATACAAATAGAGAGAGTTATACTTGTCATTTTTTTTTATGTATCTTCATCTTGTATTGAAATAGTTCAACAAGTTCAATTTGTATGTATATAGTTGTAAAAAAATGAGTATCGAAAGAACATGAGCAAAAAGAGATAGAATGATTGTGAAAATGTCAATTTTGTATATAGTAGAATACTAATATACATAGATAGTAGGATACACATGTATTTTTATGTTTTCATCAATACTTACATTTCTATGTTAGTTAGTCATTCCATTCATATGAATGTTTGTAGAGTAGAATACATATAATTAATTATTGATACTTCTATTGTAGTAATGTGAACAATACAAGACATTGAAATACAATTAGATATAAGTTATACTTGTCAAGCTTTTGAACAAAATAATACATATATACTTGGATAATTACATATACAAATGGATACTTCTAGTGAATAGGTTTCACTGTCAATTGATTATTAGTTTCACTTTGCCACATTAATCGGATGTACATGATACATTAATACTTTACATTTGATTATTTGTATTTCAATCTATGTTAGTATATTATTGCATTTGTATGAATATTAATAGAATTGAATACATATATACTTGTATACTTTATAGTGTACTAATGTGACTAGAAGAAAGAAATTGAGATTTATACTTTTCAAATCTTTTATACTAAACAATTTATATGTACTTGGATATTTACATATACAATTGGAGACCTATAGACTATAGTGCATTAAGAGTTATTTGCCACTTGTTTTGGATTTTCATATGTAGTTGTCACTTGGATTCGACTGAACATATACCCGTACTCCCATATCGTTGCATATTTTCACAGGAGTATCATTACCTTTGACACTGTATTTGATGGTGATACACGTTGTAGTCAGATCAATGTTCAATTGGCCCGAAATTAATTCAATCAAATCAGAATACGAAGTATATTCTTTCAATACGATTCCATCAATACTATATTCTATATAGCAATTTTCATCGTTTCATTTTCCAGCATGTCTGATCAATATTGTTAAGCTTGCCATTGAATTCA